CTCCGAGTTTCTAAAACTGTATGCAAAGTCATATTAATATTTATTTTGTCTTAATATCATATTATTTGATCCTTATGATTCATCTCTGCTTAGGAGTTTAATTCTGAGATTTTGACGAAATGATGATCTTGTTTTTTCTTCTCTTATATTTATGGACAAATTATTTCACAGCTTTGCTCCAATGAAAGAAATTGAAAAAGTCCCATGTGTCGTACTACATTTATGTAATCGTAGCATTAAATGTTCTCTCCCTCTTGTTCTGTACATGTGATTCATTAAAACAAATTAGTTCATTGACGAATGTGGTAAATGTCCTTTCTGCAGGTCATATACAAATGTCGATACTGAATGCTCGAACAGATTATGCACATCTAATACCTGTAGACGTACGAACCTGAGTGCATTTGAACTTGTTCTGAATGGGGAAAATGTTTTCACACGCATGGCCATTTTCTGTGCCAATACGACAGAATACTCCGGTTCGATATTTTGGAGAAACATTATTATGTCACAACTTATTTTTGTTTATTGAAAAGCTGATGTTGGCCTATGTATTGTATTCAAATGTAACAGGCATACGATAGTTAATGTGTTTTTTTGAAGGTTAGAATGTTATTAAGTTTGAAGTTTTGTTTATAACACCCTTCCAATAATAATGCACCTTCTAAGACTGGTTATAGTTTTTGAAGAGAAAATGGTGCTCTGGTCAGGGCCTTAGGGGGATGTTATGCTTATATTTTAGAGCGTAGCTGGTATGCTAAGTATATCTGGGTGAAGAAGGAGATAATGGAAGTTGGTTGTTTGGTAGTTGGAACGTAAGTTTTATATTATGGTTTTTTTAAAAACAGACAGTTTGTATGAGATCACGAGTGGAAATTTTCTGTCATTTTTTTAACCAAACTTTGCATCAGTGATATTCTGTCTCATTGAATTGAGTTTCCCGCAGAGAGGATTCAGTTGGTTTAATTAAAGAAGGAAGAATGAAGAACCAAAAGCAATATGTTTTTTTATTTACTAATGGGAACTATGTTTTTTGAGATCTCCTTACACAGAATAATAGAATGGGTTTTTCACGATGAATGTTGTTTGGAGACCTTAATATTCATAAAATGTATGTTTCGATCACTAGGAAATAAAGAATTATCTGTCTACATGAACCTTTCCTGGTTGCTTATTAATGCATTTGCCCACTGGTAACATAATACTTTCACAAGTTGATATCCCTCACCATTGGATTTTTCGATTGGATCTAAATTTCGTTTAAAAATAGATGATAGCAGTCTGGTAGGCCTACACTGCAGGCAAGAGTCAGGACTAACATTTAGCATGTTATTAATTTTATTACCACTCTTGTATTCTCTGAAATTTTATCTTTATTAAGGGGTGACTTGAAAAGGTTAATAACTTGGAACGGACGGGGTACAACCTGTCACACGCTTCAACCTCTTGGTTGCTTTGATCCATTGCCGAAAATATTTTGGCACCTATCACCCCCCCCCAACCACGGATACAAATCGACACCCCTGCATTACATTGTCGCCCTCGTTGGTCTTTTGAGACTTTAGAGTCAGAATGGCATGAATCCTTTGTAAAAGTATATTCAAGGTGATGCACTTCTGGCTCTAAGCAGAGTACATGATCATATAAAATGAACTTATTTGTGTTTTTTGTAATAAGTGTCCTTTTCCCTTCGGATATGTGCCCCACTTTGCTTTCCCCATGAAATGTGCTCCTAATTTAAAGCGACTAAGAGCAACCTTTTCTTTAATTTCACCCAAAGCCCGCTCGCAACGCTCGCTCGCATTTATAGTTGATTTACATATATTTAGGCTAGGAAAGATATTACATTTTTTAGGTAAACGTCAAACAAATTGCAATAAAATGTTTGTCACTGCAATGCATTTCAGTAAGGTCCCCTAAATGGCTACCGAAAAGTCCGAAAAATAGTGGAAGTGTCCCTAATTTGCATAAATCCAATATGGCCGCTATTTCGAGGATTTGTATAAGCTGTTGTGGCACTAAAGGTGTTGGACAAGTGATATGTTATATATTTTTTATCAACTAAAATACCCATATACAACAGGTACATCACACACCTAAAACAAATCCCCCGCACACCCACACCCACACAATCTAACGTGTAATTAATGCTCAAGTTATCACCTTAGCAGATGATGTTATTTCATTATGCACTATAGACAATTATATTGTAATACGCAAAACAAATATCATGTCATTTTATATTGAAAAAAATAAAACAAAAATCTTCAAAAAAAATAGCCCTTATGAGTATCCGTTCAAGAGCTGCCGGTAGGGATATGTAGGGGTAAAGCCTGTACCTAACATTATCCTCATGGTCATTGGATTAGATAAAAGTTGGTCTCAGTGCAACAGTTTGCTTTAGTGAGGAGAGAAACAGAAGCATACATTACATGCCAATGGCTCATTACAGTGCAAGTATCAATATTACTGCGGTATTGTGCTCTCTAATAACTATTTTGGTCAAATATTCAACTAAGTTTTTATTGCGTGATATCCAGTGATAAAGCTCGATGCCTAATTTATAGTCATTCATTTTAGAACTTTAAGGTTAAACACCCAATAATAGTTTTATTATAATATCGATGGAAAGCTTATAATGTGCAGAATACAATAAAATTAATGTTTTTAATTAAAAGATATATGACCCCACTATTAAAAGGCAAAATAACTAATCAAAGATTGTCACTACACCCCCACTTCACCTAAGGTCATTCAGAGATCAAATTAAGCCTGTAATTCATGACGTCACAGAATGTACAACTCTCTTGATCGCCGATCTATGCAGTGCTACAAAGGCAAACCTACACAATTAAGAGCCTACATCAATAGGAAGGGGGCTTTAGTTGTTGATGTGGTACTGGTTGTGCTATTATTGTAGTTGTATAGTAGGGGTATGCATAAAAAGAAATGATACGTGGTCCCAAAATGTGTCTAGAATACTTGTATCAGTCGATGATCTTCCCGCAGTTGATGCTGTATACCATAAACAATGCTTGATGAACTTTAAAACCGAAAAGCAAATACCAATGGTATACTCTGTGAGCACAAGCACTTCCAAAAATTGACTGCATTCTTAAAAGTAGTTAAGGAACAAACAGCAGTAGCTGATCTTGTTACTAAGATGCAGAGTATTTACTGGATACAGATAATGAGGCCTACAGTGGGGTATATATGAAAAAGAAAATACAGGGGCACTTCAGTGAGAGGAATGTTCTAACTGAACTGAACGGAAAGCATGATGTAGTAGTGCTATTCTGTGTGAATTCCACAAGCAGCCAAAGAACAACACACCAAAGCAGGAGAAAATGAGGATCATAAAGATTGCTGCCTCACCGCATAAAGAATGACGACAAGTTAAAGAGAATTGCAAGTGACGCGTTTACCCAACTTTTGCTGAAATGTCGTCTACCACTGACTTGCATTTCTCACAGATTCACTGCAAGCGCCATTGAGGAACATGTTTGTTGGCAAAAAGGTAGATGTGATGCTGGCATCTATTAGGCAAGCCATAATGCACGCAATACGGCTATGGCTTCTCCTTGCTCCTCTTCAGCTTGTACATCATCAATTCTCATCTCGCTTTCTGATCGACACTCTGCATGCGCAATGCTTCTAATGGTCTTATCCGGTGGTTAAGAAATATGAAAGAAGTGTGGCACTTTCTCAAGAGTGCATTCAGTATATTGCAGAGTGCAGACAATGTCGACCATAATATCGACACTCCTGAGGGATCAGGTACTTTCCACAGATGGGCATCATAGCCACCAAAACCCCAGTTAAAAATAACTGTGAGCCTGTACCTAGATAAACAGTATCCGTTGAGAACACTGTTGGACGTATCAACATTGAATACTTCAATGCATCTACAACTGTACAACCTCTGGTTTACCAGCCGATTGTGAATCGGGGAACAGAATATCCAACATTTAACCTTGATGTGTTGTTGAAGACATCTATACTACTGCGGTTCCCAAGACCCGGAACGATTCAGATGGTAAACAACGGCAACTACCCTGGACAGTCATCTTTTTTTGTTTCTCTCCGTTATTGACATGAATCCCAGTGATCCATCCTGTGTTTACTCCACTCTGCGTTTTGTTTGTGCCCATGCTAAACTGTATACTATACACCTGTTTTTGACTTTTGATCCGCCGCTATGGTGGAAGGCACTCACAATAATTAGGAGCCAGCCAATTAAGTGACAGTGGCTTGAATCAGACCGTTCTACAGGACATTTGATGACGGGCTCAGGACTCCAGGAACTTCTTGAAGTAGTGTATGCCATATGCCGGGTGGAAAGGCGATTTATAGAGTTGTACGGGCCCATTTCCTCATTGATGCTGCTCTAAATTGAAAGCAAAACTTATATAACATACATCTGCCACGAGTACAAACAACCTCCGAAAGTTCCTATTGTGCTCACTATAGGAACTTCCAGAGGTTGTTTAGCACCCAGGTTGTTCTATATGGAGCAGATTCCTGGAATTAATTACGATTCAGCAGAAGTTTAAAGCCACAATTCTTGTCGGTGATGACACAAACCTTTCACAAAGGACTTTTTGTTTGCACCTGAGCCTAAGGCAAGCTCCAAGAAGAACCGAACATGGAATGTCAAACAGCCGAAGGAATCTCTAGGACGTATAGGCCCGAATTCACAAAGGAGGTTTGTCGACAAACCTTGATTTTCGTACGTCATATGACGCGTTTTACGCGTTTTTTACAAACCTGGTTTGTAAAGAACAAAAGGAGGTTTGGCGAAACAAAAGGAGGTTTGAGCTCAAACCTTGGTCTGAGCTCAAACCTTGCTTTGTGAATTCGGGCCATAGTGTGTGTTACTGCTCTCTATTTGTCCATGTGCTTCTGGGCTACGACACAACGTATCGCATATTTAGACGAGGGAAAGGCGTAGCACTGAATACAATCATGAAGAATGATCGGACGACTTATGTGAGCTTGCCATGGTATGTCAGCCAGCATCAGACCTGAAGGAGACCATCATTACAGCTGGAGAGAAGACACTACAAGTCTTGTATGCCTCAATGGTGATGACTCAACAGAAGTATTGCATAAAGGTATCATCAATCTTGTCTGCTTTAGAAGCAAAGACTTTGCCACTAACTTCGGCAGCAGCAAAGTTCCGCCGTCTGCCGTGTGTACTTTCATATATTAAAATAGACAGGAATGACAGACAACCTGACATCGGGAAACTGAGTTGGCAGGTCATGGATGGGAAGTATCGTCCAATAAAAACTGATACAACACCAGGACCCGCATCACTCCTTAAGGTCATCAGATGTGGATGCAAGAAAGACTGTGCAGCCAAGAAATGCACGTGCCAGAAGTATGGACTCCAATGTTCAACAGCCTGCACTAATTGTCGTGGCACTATTTGCACTAACTCACCACTATTAGACCTACAACTTGATGCTACTACTGATCAGCATGCCACATCAATGTACGTTTGTTAGAGACTATTAATTACTCTAATCAACTTAAAATATGTATACCAAACTGTAGGCCTCATGACCTGCATCCTGTAATAACAACTGAACTGGGATTGTAAACCAAAATACACATATTAAAGCTGCTCTGAAATGCACTTAAAGGTGAGATTCAACACAAAATGTATGCAAATTAACCCACTTTTTTGAAAATGTATGTGTATATGTAAATTGAAGGACCTAATTATGATACATTTAAAATATAAAAATATTTTTACAACATGAATAAGCGTTGTCGCAATTATTCAAATTGTAACATAGGACAAAAAATAAAGGTATAATCAATGCTCTACAAAAATGCTTAATTTGGTAACCATTTTGAATTCAAGCAGATTAAAACAATCAACTGGGCATATGAAACCATGTGCAAACAAAAGCATTCTTGGAAATTACATTTTTGACTTTCAAAGTACACTTAAAGTTTGCTAAAAGGTATGTATGGAGAATAATTTGACAAAATCTAGGCCATTTTGGATTCATGTAAATTAGACACACTTTCACTACACAAATCTTTTCGGATTTTTGGTATGTCATTTTGGGGACCTTACTAAAATGCATTGCAGTGAAATATATTGTATTGCAATTTGTTTAGTGCCACAACAGCCCATACAAGTTGAACAAAATGACAAAATCTAAGTGAAAATGCTCGAAATAGCGGCCATATTGGCTTTATGCAAATTAGGTACACTTTCACTACACGGATTTTTTCGGACTTTTAGTATGTCATTTTTGGGACCCTACTATAAAAATAAATAAAAAAATGCATTGCAGTGAAAAATATTTTATGGCAATTTGTTTAACCTAAAAACACAATATTCGTAGCCTAATTTCTTATCAAAGATTTTATTCAGTCTTTCATGATTAGATTGTGCTTAAAACCCCATCAGGATTGTTCTTTCCTCTTTTAAAGAGTAACAAACATATTAGATGTAAGTTTTCGCACTGCGACCTCATAATTCTTAAATAAATATTCAGACCATCACTTCTAACTGTAAAGTGTGTGTATGAGGCTTGAATATAAATAAGCAGTATCTTAGGCCATGTACAGACCATGTATAACTAAGACCATGTAACTAGGCGTAGTGGCGTGCGCCTGGAATTCAGCTAACAATGGAAGTTACAAACTGATTCAGCCGAGGACGCAGGTTCGAAACTGAGTAACGTCTGCCGGATGGTGACGTTTAAAGGTCGACCCCAGACGTAAATAATCATTGATTGATTGATACACGTCTGTAAAAACCCAATATACACACACACACACACACACACACCGTGTCAAGAGAGATACAAACATTAAATCATCCCTAACAATGTAATCACAATGTAGGGGGGAATATACCAATGTAAACAAATGGTATATTTTCGCTTCGAGGTTTCTCTTTGTAGATGCCCCTTTTCTCCCAAAAGTGCCCGAAAGGAGAGAGAGAGAGAGAGAGAGAGAGGAGGGGAGAGAGAGAGAGAGAGGAGGGGAGGGGGAGGAAGGAGGAGAAAAGGAGTTAAAAACTTTAAAAATATATATAAATACATTGTGAGATTATAATCTGAGATGTGATATAAGAAATAATTTATGGTGAAATTGTAAGGATATAAATGCTCAGAAAATGCTCTCCCGTAATGTTTAACATTAAAATTAAACCATTTGAAACACAGCATGCATTGCTTAAGTAATTCTAGGCTTTGTATTCAATACGTTGATATGGGCTCCCTACAGCCCCCCCCCCCTAAAAAAAAGGAGACAAGTGAGCGGTTTCTAGACAAGTTTTAATATAAAAGAAAACGAATGAAGCTGGTGGTAAGTAATGAAACGCAACAGGACAATAGCTGATTTTAAAATTGTGATCAGCTTTATTCACGGTCTAGACAAATAATTTTTCAAAATCTAAGGTGCGTAACTACTGATTCAGTTTAAACAGATTTTTAATAGGAAAATATATAAAATAAATCTTTCCTTTACGGAGCTTCATAGTTCTTTGCGTATTGTTGAACTCCAAGCAGTACTCAATACTTCCATATAAAATAAAAAAATTAACACCAGCTTTGGCAATTCTTGTTCTTGTAAACTAAAGATAGGTAGGCATACAACTCGAAAGAAAATTAGAGAATTAGGTTACAGAGCTTATAGGTGGGGTTAAAATTAAAAAATAAGTTGATTCATGTTGATGTGCAGGGCTGCATACAACTCATATTTTGTTATTCAAACATCTAGATATATTTCATTGATTTGTAAGTATTAAAATAAAAAAAAATTCTGAGACCTGCTAACCTCCACCCTAAAAACATGTTCCACATCTCATTCATCTGATGACACCATCTTTCTATCATTAGGGACTTTTAAATTTGCACGAAGACAATGTGGATTGCTACGGTCGACGTCCTTTTAATGCACTGCCTTGAATGGACGTCACACGTATCAGTCCACGCAAATCTAAAAGTCCCTATTAGTGAGCTATCAAGAGACAGTGGTATGTAGCTTCACCAGACATGACGACATGTTTACAATAGACCATACAATACATACATAGGAGTTGGTCTATCAGATATTATGTAGCATCACCAGGAAAAGAAAGGTAATGTGGAGGCATTGTATAAAAGAATGCAATTCTTTTGTGAGCATGTGCTGATCTGAGGGAAGTTACATACCACTGTCTCTTGTAAGCTCACTAATGATTGACAGATGATGTCACAAGATGAATGAAATCGGGAGCATTTTTTTAAAAGGTGAAGCTTAGCAGGTCCGAGAAAATCATTTAAAAAATATTTAAAAATCTATGAAATATATTTAGATGTTTGAATAAAACAAATATGTGTTGTATGCATCCCTACACATCAACATGTTTTTGGATGTCACCCGACCTTTAAATCAAGGTTCTTGATCGCTGTTCTTCTTTTTTGAAATGTTTTGCAAAGATTTACAAATCTGGTTAAAGGTGAAATTCAAAGAAAATCACAAATATGTCAACTAATGTATCACTAGAAACTGGTAAGCTAACATATGGTCATCGTACAAGTTTTAGGTCAACTAAATACCGGGTGATTTATAAAAATACAAATACAACCACCTCCATAGCAGCTGGGATATACGAGAGATTCGCCGGAAAAATAACGATGTTTTAATGACGTCACTATATGGACCAATACTGCCCAAGCAGACGACATCCCATAAAGAATGAACATAATTGCGAAGCTATTATTTGTCAAATTATAATGAGTTTAATGTATATAAATGTAATGGCATGTCAAACCATACAAAAGGGGATATGACCCGAGTCTGATAACTAAAATATTTTGCTTGTGAATACACAGGATAAGGGTTAATTAACAATCAAAGAAACCAGACTTTCAAATTGAAAACCCCCCGGAATGATATTAAGGACGGCATTTGTTCCCTCTTGAACCGCCGAACATACCGCGGTGGGTGCAGCTGAATATTCAATGGCGTCTTATTTTGTTTACAAGCGACAGATTCCTTTATTTTTGTATCGCTGCATCTGTCATCAAAATAAAAACATATGCGGGGTTTAGAGTAAGGCAATAGATTATACATTTAGCCTGACGGTAGTGTAGTAAGAGAAAGAACTCAAAAGAAGATGAAAACACAGGCACTGAAAATGTGTGAGATGTCATGGGACATCGTCTGCTTGTGCAAATCATGTCCATACTGTGATCTCACACATCTCAGCAGCGTTCGGAGAGCTCTTCAGGTGCTATGCCGGGGCTGTATTTAAGCGTTTTGTAATTTATAATAATCATTACTTCGAATGTTTTCCAAGCATTGAATTTTGATTACCTTGTCGAATCAAAGTTTCAACTTTGCAATAATGAAAATAAAGTTAGTTTTTAAAATCAATGAATATCTACTTTAAGAACGCCAGTGCCTTAACCCACTAGGCCACTGAGATGAGCTAGTGATTTCAGCGACAACAGATTTAATAGACCGACAGATCACCGACAATAACTGTAGCTTTAAACTTCTGCTGAATCACAATTAATTCCAGGACAAAATAACTGAAAATCAATTCTCCTGGCAGAGAGGGGGTCAGTTGCACACACATACAAAAAAGTAATGTGCTCTCTATTTAGAAATTGTAGTTTACGATTTCTCACTTCTTCCCAAAGAACCTGATTGTCCAAGTTAAGTTGAGGACAAAATTGTATTTCATGTGTCCAGATAATTATACAGTGCGTACCTAACCAAAGAATGTACACATCTGTTAGATTCTATTTGAAAGTCATAACATGTGTGTCCATACATTATATTTGATTTTAAATATTCTGTCTAATGATATCTTTAATTCTGCTGCAACGGATGACTGGGCAGCAGCTGAAGCAATGAATGTGGATGTAAATGTGGGCCGTTACGCATTGTTATTTTACGAAAAGTCCGAAAATGAATTGCTGACTTTATATTCGAATCGTTTTTTAGACTCGAATAGAAAATGTAATTTCAACTCAAACTCAAAAATCAATTTACAAGCAAAACTATTATTGTTGTTATATATATACAGTATATTACAAGTTGCCAAGTAACAAACTTACATTTAATGTATTTCTGTGTGTACTTTGTTTGCCTCAGGTCCGCAAAGCAATCTACGAGAGCTTCAAAGATGAACTCTCCATCGTTCCGTCGTCACCAGACCAGTGGCAGAGGGTCTCCAGCGATTTCAGTCAGAGATGGAACTTCCACCACTGCTGCGGTGCCTTAGACGGAAAGCACATTGAGATCAAGAAACAGATAAGAGCGGCAGCAACTACTTTAAATACAAAGGCTACTTCTCCCTAATTTTACTCGCTCTAGTCGACGCCGATTACAAGTTCATCTGGTGTAACACGGGGGGAACCGGTTCGGCCTCCGATACCGGGGTGTTCAACTCTTCACGTCTTCGCCCGGCCCTGGAGAACAACATGTTGGGCCTACCGAACCTCGATCCTCTGCCTGGTGACGACATACCCGTTCACTAGGGACTTTTAGATTGAGTGGACGAGAACACGACGAACGCCGACTGATCATGCGTGTCAACGTACTCAACTGCCCATGTTGACTACAATTGGAAATCTGTTAGATTGCTCTCGGCGATATACATGAATGCAGGAAGTAACACTGTGAATATGACAGACAAAGAAAGAGGACAAAATATACAGTTCCTCATTCTATCCTCAACAATTGCTTTGGTAGAACATCCCTTCACTGCTATTATGTAAAAATGTGTAGAAGAGGTGAATTTGCATGTGACACCTGTTCTACACATTTGTAGATAATAGTACCGTACTAGATTTAGGAAAATCAAGGTTGACGCATTCTCGATCGCCGACTGAGACGACGTGACGCATGCGCAGGGCCTTAAAATGGCGTCACACGTTGCAGTCAAAGCTGTCGACGTGCAAATCTAAAAGTCCCTACTATTTCATGATCGGAGACGATGCGTTCCCGCTTAGAACATGGAGGATGAAACCATCCAGTCAAAAGGAACTTTCACGCAATGACCGGGTATTCAACTACAGACTGTCTCTTAGGAGGGTCGTCGAAAATGCCTTTGGTATTTTGGCACATCGCTTTTGATGCCTGCTTACCTGTCTTCAGCTACAACCTAAGAACGTTACTGTCGTGGTGGAGGCGTGTCTGACTTGACACAACTTACTGCGAACTCGGAATCTGCGAGCCCAGGCCAATGATGTCGACCACGAGGACGAGACTGGGAATCTCATCCCTAGTGTATGGCGTGCATATGTGCATCTGACTGATCCGAAGACTGTGGGCGGTTGTCATTTGACTCGGACTATTACAACAGCGACATCGGGCGGGTCCCATGGCAAGATAAGATCGTCGACAGGACATAGTAATGAACTACACCCGTCATGCGTGTATGTACCAACAATCGCTAGATCCCCTTTAAAAAAAAATGTTTATGTATGATTTAGTCTGTTTTCTTGGTTATCTGCGTACTAGGCCCATATGCTCAACTAAACGATAAAGTGAAATAGGTATTTACACTGAAATAATACATGTACAATTCTTGTGAGCCAAAGGTCCGACTGATAACTGCACGTTCTCTTTATATCATAGAAATTAAACTAAACAGGCCTAACAGATCAAATTATATAAATTAAAGGGTTTAAAAAATGAACCAAAGAGAGAGGAGACTAGAGTATTATGAACATGAAATAATAAGATAAATTTCAACCTGTTCAAGAAAAATAAAGGAGAATTGGATTTAAATCTTCAAGATAGTCCTAAATGTTATTCATCCTTTTATTATTTTTTTTCAGATATTCATGAATACAAACAAAAAATTGCACTATTTAAGGTGATTATGAATACCTTGGTAGCCTTGATTTTACTTGATTACTTTAGTTGACGAATTTTAAGCTTGTATCCTTATTTGAGATATTGCTCTTTTCATTACCTTTCTTGTTTACATTTTAACAAATTTCGGTAATAAATAAATGAAAGCATCGAGATCTTTAAAAAAGCAAAGAAACATACTGTTTTTATGTTTTTGTTGTTTTGTCGTCTTGCATCGTGCCAATACCTTCTGGAGTGAGCAAATTATGACTGTTGTTGTTTTTATTTCCGTATAATATAATCGGTTTATATAAAATACATATAAAGTAATCATACAAACAAAGGGACAGAATACGGCTGGTACCCATTTTAAGCAGCAACTATATTGTTGCTGCTCTCTTCCTCTTTCTCCTTCCGAGAGGCGGCCCTCCCGGGTGGGGGGGGGGGCAGGGGGGGCACACTGCCCCCCCACTTTTTCAGATACCCCAAAAGTGCCCCTTTTTACATAGGAAAAGTGCCCCTTTTATTTTGTAAGAAGTGCCCCTTTTACATAGGAAAGGTGCCCCTTTTACTTTGACAAGTGCCCATATTACTTAGTAAAAGTGCCCCTTTTGCCTTTTCACCTCTGACGAGTGCCCTTTTTATTTTTGACACGTGCCCCTTTTCCTTCGACATGTTTCCATTTTCCTTTGCAATAAGTGTCCATTTTCCATTCTCATAAATCTTGAAATTATCTTGAATAAGTGCCCTTTTTAATCTCTAGTAAGTGCCTCTTTTCAGGTACGAGAAGTGCCTCTTTTCATTTTTAATACGTGCTCCCTTCACCTCTGTTAATTGCCCTATTCAAAACTAAGAGGTGCTTCTTTTACTTTGACAACTTCCCCTTTTTTCCTTTGTAAGAAGTGCCCCTTCTCCTTTTAATAACTACCGCTTTTTTAAACTCGGATGAGCACACCTTTCATTTTAACATGTGCCCCTCTTATTTTCTAATAGGTGCCCCTTTTCCTTATGATAAGTGTCCCCATTAAAAAGAGAGAGAGCTCCTTCCCCTTCTCATAACTACCCCTTTCCCTTTATAATAAGTGCCCCTTTTCCTTATGATAAGTGCCCCCATTAAAAAGAAAGAGCTCCTTCCCCTTCTCATAACTGCTCCTTTTAAAAATCTGAATGGTGCCCTCTTTTCATTCAACAAATGCACATTTTCCTTTATTATAAGTGCCCCTTTTAGATTTTCATCTCTTATAAATGCCCTTATCAAAATCTGATGGGTGCCCCTTTTCCGTCAACAAATGCCTATTTCCCATTTTCGTAAACGCCTCTTTTTTATCACTGGTGAGTGCCTCTTTTCAGGTGAAAAAATGCCTCATTTTCACCTCTTATAATTATCCTTTGTACTTTGACACGTGCTCCTTTTCTTTTCTAATAAGTGTCTTATCCCTTTCGATAATTTTCCCCTTTTCATGTAATCATTAAACGTGCCCCTTATTTAAAGCGACTAAGAGCAATTTCCCCCAAAGTTCGCTCGCTGCGCTCGCTCGCATTTAAAGATGATATAATTATATTACTTATCAAAGATCTTTACAGTCTTCCGTTATGAGAATGTGCTTATAACCCCATCACGATTGGCTTTTTTCCTCTTTATAAGATGTAATTTTTCGCACTGCGACCTCACAGATCTTAAAAAATTTTCTCGCTCGCTTCGCTCGCTCGTAAATGCATATTCAGACATCACACCCAACTGTAAAGTCATCCGAGAATGTATACCATCATCTAGATCTATTAGGAATAAATCATTGTCAAAATCATTCAATCAATTGGGTTAAAAATAATTATTCCACCATTATGACCAACAGTGTACATTGTCACTCAGTTTAATTGCACGACGGGGAAAATTGTGAACAGGCTCAAAGTTCTAGAGTACCCTTCCTGTCCAAACCAGTCCGAGCCCGTCCATTAAGTTCTTATAAAATGGACTTGGTAATATTGTTTAAGATGAGAGTAAATTGTGCTAAGGTAGTGACTTCAATGCTAGATGTACAATAAACTATAATCTGAAAGTTTGAGTGAAAACTAAATATTTTTAGTGATACAAATTGGGAAAACTGATATGATCGATTTCTTAATTCTCCCAACTATATTATTACAGTTTGATTATATTTCAGGCTAATGTTAATCATTACAAAGCAATAGATTGGCTCTAAATATACCATTCCAGACATCTAAGTGTTGCAAGATTTTTTTTTAAAGTCTTATTTTCATGGAAAACGATTGGGCAAATTCAAAAATGGTTGGGAGAGTTCACTATTAGAGGGTACGTGTCGCACATTGACACCTTCAAAGAAAACCATGAATATCTTTGTGGTTTGAAAATTAGTTTCAGATTTTTTTCTTCACTTTAGAAGAATGTAGGGCAGAAAGAAGAAAAACCCGCATGGATTATGTAACAGATTTGCTGCGTCATATATTTCCCAACCTTGATCCCAGAAATGTGAAAATTTCGTCACCCTACATGAACAGGGCAAAAATTTAATTCAATTTCACTTTCAATTTATTCATGTTTCTAACAAAAAATTACAAATCAATTATAAGCATTTAAAACAAATGTAAGAAATACATGTTGAAAACAGAGGGGTCCACTAAAAGCAATGAATGAACAAGTATGAACACCTCAAATGATACTTAGGAATAATGAGTAATTCAATTAACTAATCCGTAACTACAAAAGAAACTACACAATAGGGGAAAGAAAAAGGAGGATGCCAACAGAGACGAGAAAGGGACAAGACAATGCTTTACACGACAAAGATAGAAGAACATGTTCAAAATACAAAGAGTAGACAATGAAACAAGAAGTGAGAGATCGAGGGTACAGAAAATAATACAAAATAATGAGCGGCATGTGGGGTTGAGAAGAGAGAAATGCGCGTTAGAAAGGAAATAAGCATGAGAAGACACAATATAATATATCAAATTACATTTTGAGTCAACGAGTGGAGAATGATCTTGTATTAAACAAAAGCAACAACGACATATAATTCAATGAAGGGTATATGATTGTAATAAAAACAATTTAAAAGTATTAATCGATGGAACATTTTTAATTATAGTACTTTTTAATAATGAATTCCAAAACTTTGGACCTTCATATATAAATGTTTTTTGAGCTGAGAGGGTCCGCAAGAGAGGTAAATGAAAATCATCTGAATGTCTTGTTGGGTAATTATGAACTGAGCTATTTTTAAAAAACATTTCATGAAAAACAGATGGCAACATATTAATTTTATAATTATAAATAAATTGACCAAGTTGGAAAGAAATATAAGTCTTTTAAAATAAAGCGTCTGTATGGGAGCGAAAGGGGAAATTACAAATAATACAAATAATCTTCTTTTGTAATAAAACCCCTTTATCTAATGACGTTTGATGAGTGTTAACCCAAACTAAGAGACCGTAGTTAAAGTATGGGAGTATCGTAGAGCTATAAAGCATAATTAAGGAAT